CTGCTTTTCCAGCTGAAATCTTCTCTCTGTGCATGGCCCGTTCACTTCCCCAACAAGCAGCACTACAAATAGAATAACTGTCATGTCAGCTGGGGGAGTGACAACAGATGGAGCTCAGAGACTGTCTCTGTGCATAGGCATAAGCCAGGCAAGGTGCTGGGGTGATGCAGCACCATGAGGCTGGGAAGACTTGTTCTCTGCTTTGCAGTTTCTGAGAACAGGATGGAGTGCTATTTTGCATGGCATTTGGGAAACAAGTTACTTAAGACATTCTTACAGCCCACAGGAGAGATTTGATGTCTCTGCATTAAGATTCCTGGCTAATTTGAAAGTGAAAAATTAGACCTTCTCTTGAGTGAGACGGGAAGGAGTTGAGTTGACCATCCATCAGGAAACAGCACCTCAAGGACTTCCTGCATACACACGGAAAGTCTTATTTCATAAGTAGTATAAGTAGAAAAGTGAGAGTATACAACCCACCAAGGAGCTCTGTACAAAAAAGATGGATTGCTTTCTGGAGGTGCATAAATTACTTTTAGGGTGAGCATGAGCAAAGGCTGAGCAGAAAGCATAAGAGAAGAAAGGCTTGAAACAGGGCTCTGTCCAGAGGTGGAGGCTTGGAGTTTACCAGCACCAGCAGCCTGCATGAGGCATTTAACAGTGTCTCTGTTCTCTTCTCCTTCTCTGGCCCAGTATATTGAGTCTCCTGATGTGGAAAAAGAGGTTAAGCGTCTCCTGAGCACAGATGCTGAAGCTGTCAGTGTCCGTATCCTTTTAGGAGAAAAAAAAAACTCAAGTGGGGGACAGGACACTATGTGTGACCTCGGGGTTGTAGAAAGGAGAGACAAGTTAAGCTTTGTGTGGGTGTGAGAGACTGGGAGATAAGCAGACAAGAGGCACTGACGTTTTTGGAGCTTCATCTTTGCCTTGTTCAAAGCTCATTGTTTCTTCATGGTGACCTTCCTTGCGGACTATACTGTTGTACTGAGCAGGAACTTAAGTAACAGCAGAGTAGTCATCACCAAAAAAGGGGGTGGGGTGGTTTGTCCTGGATATCCATAGCTGCAAGGCCAGACTTGTTGGAGCAGCAGTGACTTCCTGCAGTTTTTAGCATTCTTTGTCATACTGCATCTTTCATGTTCCTCTTTTTCCCTTGACTCATCTGTTCCTGCTGTCAGGCTGGGAGGTCATTGCTGAAGATGAAACAAAAGAAGTAGACAACCACGGTTCACTCACCAGCCTGGACATCTCCTCCCCAGGGATGTCGGGACATAAGCAAGGCCATGGCTCCTCAGGTGCAGTGGGGAAAGCTGTTGTTTTCTTTCTAGCCACTAAGTAATCAGTTGGGCCCATTGTCTCTGGGCTAAGTCCTAATCAGAGCAAAGGAAAGAGGGTATTGAGACAGGCACTCTGTACTGGTGTGGTCCCTGGCAGGCAACGGGTGCTGAAAGGTCATCAGCTGTGGTTTTCCTCTTCCCTTTTGCACCCCCCTAGAACATGATGAGCTGCGGGAGATATTTAATGACATCAGCAGCAGCAGCGAAGATGAAGATGAGAGGGATCATCATGATGATGAAGACCTGAACATCATGGACACTGAGGAGGACTTGGAGAGGCAGCTGCAGGACAAGCTGAATGAGTCTGATGGGCAGCAACAGGAGAACGAGGGGTCCAACCAGATAGGTGAGTGGGTGGCAGAGTACAGCAGAATCACCGCGGTGCCAGGCAGGCTGCGCTGCCCAGCTCTGCTGCTGCTCTGGATCTGAGCTCACTCTCTCTTCCAGTCATGGGGATCCAGAAACAGATTGACAGCCTGAAAAGTAAACTCCAGGAGACCCAGGACAGGAGGAAGCGCCAGGAAGATCTCATCATGAAAGTGGAGAACCTAGCCCTGAAGGTGAGAGCTCTCCTGGGGTTTCTTCAAGTCTTCTGCTTAGCACTGCCTTGCCATTAGATCCAGCAGACTGATTCAGCTGCTGCCCTGGAAAACCCAGGGGCCTTTGCCTGCTGGGTTAAAAATAATTGTGGTGTGACCATACAGACTGCAGCATTTCCCCATGGAGGCAAAGCAATCCATGAAACTGTAGAAGATAAGGGGGCTGGTTGTCAGTGCAGCTTGGGGCTTGCTGCACCATTTGACATTTTGTGCCAGCACCCATTCAGTTGAGAACACATTGGTAACTGTGGTGTGGCATGTTTGCTCTGCAGACCCGTCTCCAGGCCATGCTGGATGAGTTCAAGCAGCAGGAAGAGCGAGAGAAGCAGCAGGTGAGGAAGCTCCCACAGTGGAGTGGGAAGGACTGGAGCATGACATGGTTCTAGGCTTGGCCTCTGACAAAGTTTCCTGTATCTTGTACCACACCAGCTGCTTTGAACTCCAGTGTTACAAGTCAGGTGTGGTTGTACCTCATCTGTACTTGCATGGAGCTTCCTAAGGCACAAGGAGGTATAGGAAATGGGGTTGACTGCAGCCTTCCTTCTGGAGGAGCAGTGAACCAAAACATGTCTAGTCAGCAGTCCAAGGCTGCTAGGATTGCTGCCTGGGATGAAACATGACATGGAAACCCACTAGCTCCCATGTACAAGAAGGGCAGTAGCTGTAGGGTCTTGGCAGATTTCCTGCCTGGGCAGCTCTGCTGAGTTTCAACCAGGTACCAAGGCAGGAGGTTCCCACTCCCAGGTTCCTGTTGTGCAGCTTCATCTTCTGGGCAGTGCTGAGTTCTGGCCCAGAGGTGCCCAGTCACGGGGTCCCTGCGATGTACAGGCAAAGCAGCTGCTGGCAGAGGTGGAAGATCCACAGATACACAGAAGTGCTTGGGCTGGAGCTGCCAGGAGTCCCAGCCATGCTTTACTGTAATGCCTCATTCCCTCTTCCCAGATGACGTCCCTGCAGGAGCAGCTGGAGTCCCTCATGGAGAAGTGATGAGCGGGCCTAGGTCTTTGTACCTGCAAGCAGAGCTGGAAGTGTTGCTCATCTGCCATGCTGAAGTCTTTGCTCTAGTCACACACCTCTGCTGCCAGATGTGCTGCTGGGCAGTGCTAGAGGCTCCATGTCCAGAGCTGCTTTCACATACATTGTGCTGGGCTTGGCTGAGTGGAGCTAAAGAATTGGACTATGCCTGTGAGAGCAGCCAAAACACTGGATTTACTGTAAATATTCAGCACCATTCTCCCAGAGGGGTTTAGTTCTCCCTGGGACAGTGCGGTGCAGCTTTCTGCATCTTCTTGAGTCTTGGACTTGATGGACTGTGGCCTGGTAGGAGCTTGTTCTTGGGTTTGGGAAATGCTTGTGTCTGCAACCCAGACTCAATAAAGTACCGTTTCCAACCGTGTTCTGTTCCTTCATGGCCTCTGGAGCACAGACTAGCACTGCCTCTTGCCAGCTTGTGCCTGACCACACACAGCCCCTGGCTGGTACTCACACCAGCATTGCTGGGCTCCTTTGCTGAAATGCTCTTTGTGTGGCTGGGTCAAAGGGAGACTGTGTGCGAAGGGGACCCTGCAAACTGTCACTCTATGGGAGGAACGAGGCCCTCCTGATCAGGGAGTTTCTTTAATTCCTCACAGACTAGGCAGGCAAATCCCAGATTAACCTGGCAGGGTGGGAAGAGGATTAGAAAGGCAGTTACGGAACGCAACAGAGGGCACCGCAGGCTTCAGCAAGGGTGTGCCACAGCAGGACGCTCCTCTCGCAACCCAAAGGGCAGAGGAAGGGGAGAACCCGGCTTCCAAGCTTTGCCCCCAGCACAGAAAGTGAAAGGCCAGTGGCAGCCCTGGGAGATGATGTGTGTTCAGGTAGTCGAGAAAGGGAGACACCCTGAGGAAGACACAGAGCTCAGGAAGGGCCAGAGCTCACCCATGTGCATGTGCCTGTGACCTGCTCCTGGGGACCGGCCATGGAGGAAACCTACCTGCTGAATGTGGAAGGGGTCAAAAAGAAGATTCTGCATGGAGGCCAAGGGGAGCTGCCAAAGTTGCAGGATGGGAGCAAGGTAAGTCGTCTTGGTTGTTACCCCAAAGCCCTAGGAGAGGGGGGTGGGTCCGACACTGCCATCGCTGCCCGTTATGGTTAGATTCCCTGCTCACAAGCCAAGCTCCAGGTCTATGGTATGGGGAGATCCCATCTCCAGGAGATCCCTCATAAGGGGGGTGCAGGAAGGGCTGTTTTGGGCACAGGCAGCCACATTGCCCTCACAGTGATGGCTGACATTGCCCACTGCCTTCACCTTGCATTGGTGCTGTTACCCGCCTCCTCCCTCTGTCCTGGGGCCATTGGACCTCAGTGGCCGCGATGGGTTCCTGGAAATCTGCCTCTCCTGATGTGTGTCAAACAGGAGCGAGGGGTGCCAATGGGGAGCTCTTGGAGGTTTCCAAGATTCCCCAGCCGGTGGGTATGGGCAGATCAGCGTGGGTTCCGCCAGGTCCTGGTGCATGCTGTGGGAGCTCTCTGCTGGGTTGTAAAGGGGGATCCAAAGAGAGCAGCAAGATCTAGCACCGATGGGCAGTAAGACGCTCCACCATCTGCTTGCTGTCTAAGACAAATGGGTAGGAGGCACAATCTCCTGCTGCAGATTGAGAGCTGCCAATCAAACCAGCACCTCACTAAGAGCAGGCTTAGCCCCGTGTCCTGGCCCCGTGGCAGAGGGATTCGGGGCTGGCGAGGGGATGGAGGGCTCTCGCTGTGGTGCCTGCCCCAGCTCAACACTGAGCTTTCTCCGGGGCAGATCACCTTCCACTTCCAGACACTGAAGGATGACTTTGAGCGGACGGTGATCGACGACAGCCGGGAAGCTGGCATCCCTATGGAGATCATTGTGGGCAAGATGTTCAAGCTGGAGATCTGGGAGACGCTGCTCAGCTCCATGAGAGCCGGGGAAGTGGCTGAGTTCTGGTGCGACGCCATTGTGAGTGAGGGGCCCTTGGGCGCCCACTGCCCTCCTTTCTGCGGAGCCAGGGCAGAGGACCATGCACCCCAGAGATGCTCCAGTCTTGCCTGGTGCAAGCACAGGCGGCATAGGTCTCACTTAGCCATGGCACCAGGGGGGCTACCCCAGAGGAAGGGGGTGCAGGATGGCCCCATGCCGCTGAGCAGGGTGCTCCCCCTCCTTGCAGCACACGGGCATGTACGCCCTAGTCTCTAGGGGCATGCGGAGGATCGCGGAGGGCCGAGACCCCCTGGAAGGACAGAAGCACCGCTGTGGCATGGGCAACATGTTTGACTACCACAGCACGGGCTATGACGACCTGGACGAGCTGCAGCGGACACCGCAGCCCCTCATCTTTATCATGGAGTTGTTCCGGGTAAGGGGGATGGAGGGGATGGCTGCCAGCGTGGGGATGGCCAGGGCAGGCAGCTCAGCTCCCACTGCCCACACAGGTGGAGGAGCCCTCAGCATACAAGCGTGACACCTGGGCCATGAGCAAGGAGGAGAAGCTGGCGGCGGTGCCTGTGCTGCACAAAGAGGGCAACCGCCTCGTCCTCTGCAAGGAGTTTGGGCAGGCGGCGGCGAAGTACCAGGAGGCTGTCATCTGCCTGAGGAACCTCCAGGCCAAGGTGAGCAGGACCTGGCCACCTCCTGTCACCCCTGCCTGGGTTTCCTCAGCAAAGCACTCCCCTGTGGGCCCTAGGTGCCCAGGAGGGGACAGCCACAGCTATGAACCCCCCACCATGGCTCCCTGGGGCAGGAGAAACCATGGGAGGATGGCTGGCTGAAGCTGGAGAGCCTGGTCACGCCGCTGGTGCTCAACTACTGCCAGTGCCAACTGGAGCTGGGCGAGTACTACGAGGTGCTGGAGCACACCACAGAGCTCCTCCAGAAACACAACGGTACTCATGCCCTGCATCCCATGCCCCCTGCTGTGCCCACGGCCCCCATGGACTCTGTCCTCTGGATCCCCCATCCATGACAATGCTCATCCCATGTCCCTCTGCCTGTGATGGTACCTATGTCATCTGGATCCTCATGTCCACTGCAGAACCCATGTCCCAGGTCCCCCTGCCCATGACAGTGCCCCCATGGCCCTGGTTTCCCCTGGCCACGATGGCACCTGCACCCCATGTCCTCTAGGTCTCCCTGCCCATGATGTTGTCCCACATCATCCAGATCCCCCTACCCACCATGTTTCCCCTTGCCCATGATGATCCCTGCACCCACGTCCCGTGGTGCCCACGGTGGTACGTGCATGGCCCAGGTCCCCCTCCTCATGATGGTACCCCTATCTACAAGTGTGTCCACCCCATGTTCCCCTGCCTATGATGGTACCTGTGTTCCATGTCCCCCTGGGTTCCCAGGGTGTCCAGCTCCTGTGCCTGGTGGCCCTGAGCTGCAGGACCCCCACTGGGGGCTCTCCTCTCCTGGCAGACAATGCCAAGGCCTATTTCAAGCGGGCGAAGGCCCACGCTGCTGTCTGGAATGAGCGGGAGGCACGGGAGGACTTCCTGCGGGTGGCTCACCTTGACCCCTCCATGGCGGCCGCTGTGAAGAAGGAGCTGAAGCAGCTGGGGGAGAGGATGAGGAAGAAGCACGTGGAGGATCGGAAGCGCTACCAGGGGCTCTTCCAGTCACCCCAGGGGCCGCGGGCCAGCAAGGGGCAGGAGAGCAGGGAGGTGGGTGACAGGGCGATGCTGCAGAAAGAGGCACCCCAGTGTGAGGTTGGGGTCCCAGAGATCCCTGGGCAGGGGGAACAGCGTGCAGGGACCAAAGAAGCAGAACAACCAGGGACTGACCAGGCAGAACAAGGGACCCCCCGGGCTGGGTGTGAAGGAGGAGCAGCAGCCCAGGGGCAGCCTGCGGGGGTGGAGGTGGAAGCAAGGGATGGGACAGGACTGGGGGAAGAAGCAAACCTGAGCACCTGTGGGGCAGAGCCAGAGAGCTGGGGAGCAGAGAGGGGGGCAAAGGGGGAAGAGGGGGAGGAGGAGGGGAAGGAGGAGCGGGAGGAGGAAGAAAAAGAGGAGAGGGAGGAGGAGAAGGTAGAGGAGAAAGGGGAGGAGGTGGAAAAGAAAGAGGAAGAAGAGGAGGAGAAGGTGGACGAGGAAGAAAAAGAGGAGAGGGAGGAGGAGAAGGTAGAGGAGAAAGGGGAGGAGGTGGAAAAGAAAGAGGAAGAAGAGGAGGAGAAGGTGGACGAGGAAGAAAAAGAGGAGAGGGAGGAGGAGAAGGTAGAGGAGAAAGGGGAGGAGGTGGAAAAGAAAGAGGAAGAAGAGGAGGAGAAGGTGGACGAGGAAGAAAAAGAGGAGAGGGAGGAGGAGGAGAAGGTAGAAGAGGAGAAAGTGGAGGAGGACAAAGAGGAAGAGAGCCCAGCAGCAGAGATGGAAAAGCTGGCTGTAGCGGCAGCAGGAGGGACAGAGGCAGCAGGGCTTGGGCAGGGGCTGGAGCAGGGAGCCAGTGGGGCAGAGGAAGCTGGCACAGGGAGCATGGCCAGGGCTGAGCCAGGCAGAGCCCCAGAACCGGGGTCCCCCAGCGAGGGGCTGGAGCCAGCTGAGGGGCCCCTGGAGCTGGAGGACGAAACACCCAGAGAGGCGCTGGAAGAGGGGAGCTGCGGGGAGCTGCGAGCAGGCAGTTGCCGAGAAAATGCTGGGGAAGGCAACATCCCCCGAGACAGCTTCACCCCTGGGGCAGTGCTCCAGGCTGGGCACTCCGGGGCAGGTGAGGAGCCAGGTGGAGGGACAGAAGTCCCCCCCTGCCTCATAGCAGCCAGGGAAGGGGGTGATGCACCCCCACGGCAATGCAGCGAGAGCAGAGAGCTCGGGGCCACGACCCTGGGGCGCAGCCAGCCCTGAGCACGGCCGGTTACCCCTGGAGGGGGGAAAGGCTGCCAGACCACTGACGCGGAGGCACAGCACAGGCAGTGGGTCTGCTGTACCCTGAGAGGGAGCCCCAGGGCTGGGGACTGGCCCTGCAGTGACACGGGAACAATGCTGTCCTCACCCTGTCGCCGCCGGGACCACTAGCCCCACTGTACAGCAGCGCCTACTGCCTCCCTGCCCTGACTCATCGGCTCCCGCGCCTTTCAGCTGGGCCCCGCTGAGCTTTGCTGGCTGAGAAATAAAAGCTCTTTCCTGGCACTATGTGCTGGATTTGTTCCCGGACGTGACCGGCTTCCCTGATCACAGCCCGCACTTCCTGCCTTGCCCCGGAGCCTGCGGCACAGGGATGGGGGTGGGGCATTTTGCTCTACCCTTGAGAGGGGGAGTTAAAGCAGCTGCATCCCACCCCCATTTAAACTCCTGAATCTCTCCTGTGTGAGAGCTGTCCCTGTAATTCCCTGCAGTAGCATCATGTCAGGCCTTTGCCCAGCACTGCCAGCCCTTCCAGGCAGGGGTGAAAGCAGGTCAAGCCCTACAACTATTAGTCCTGGGCCAGCTTCACCGTCAGCTGGGGTTGGGCTGCACCCTGTGCAGCGGGGAGGGCCTGAGAGCCCCCAGACTTGCCCTAGGCTAGTCCTCAGCTGAGCCCCTCACTGTGCCATGGAGACATGGGGAACATGGGCAGCACCTGGGGCAGAAGCACCCAGATACCTCTAGGCACTGGAGACCTAATGGGGCTCTAGGGAGAAAGCATGGAGGGAGAGGACTGCCTGTTCAGCATCCCACTGCTGCCTACATCCTTCCTGGGGCTGAAGGGTTTCCTACAGCAGAAGTTCCCAGGCAAAGAAGAGGGGCTGTCCCCACATAGCCCCTGTCCCAGCCCTCAGGCTGCTGTGTGGCCCTGAGCAGACCTTGCTGGAAGAGGAAGAAGGAAGATGGTGGTCAGGGGATGCACCTGTGTCTGGGGAGCCCAGGGCTCTGCTCACAGCTTCTGCTCTGCCTCGAATGTTGTGGACAGCCACGGTGACATAGGGCACAGGGACATCCATGTCCCAGCAGCCCTGCAGGAGCGGTGCCAGGATGGCACAGTGCCAGGAGCTGCCCTGACTCAGCTGAGGTGCACAGATAGAAGAGGCTAGAGCACCGATCCAGGTCTCAGTATAAATACAAATTTATTCTTTTTCCAGAGCAGAGATGGCACGAAGCAGCAAGGACAGTAGCACCACAGTACATGGTTACCAGAGCATTAGCCAGCCTGCTCCCCTCCCTGCTGCATCCTGGCTCCCAAACACAGCCCACGCTCCCAGCTTGGCCACTGCTGCTCCCCACACCTGGCACCAGGGCCAGCAGCTCTGCCCTCATCCTGCTCCTTCCCCACGTTCCCCCCATCCTGCCATTGGGATAACAGGGGGGTCCAGCTGGGTCTTGCACGCTGGCATGTGGTCTCTCACCACGGTCAAAAAAGCAGCCTGACACACCACATGCTTACAGCCAGCCTAAGACCAATGCCACCACTACTGCACTCCCGCCGCTCGCCCAGGTGTGAGAGGGGACAGCAAGGACAGCAACCCGCACTGCTGCTAGCGGACGCTGCAGCACAAGACCCCGAATACCTGGCTGTAAGGCTCGCACCACCTAATCCCCAGCGTGGACACTGCTTCGCACCTCTGCCTGCACAACCCTCTGCCCCCACATGCTGCCTTGGTCTGAACCTCCCCGAACAGCTCACCACCGCATCCTGTCCCAGCCAGCATCAACAGCCCCGTCCCAGTCCTCGCAGCAAGCCCTGTTTTGGGCAGGATGCTTCATACCATCATGCAGCCCTGCCTGCGCCCTGCCCCGAGGGCTCCAAGGCATCTCATCCCTCTACAGCCTGTGGCCCCAGAGCATCAGGGCCATCTCAGCCTCCGCTCTGGGGCACCCCACAGCACCTGACTCTACCTCTTTCTCGACATAACACAGCACGAGAGAGCCAGCCTGAGGGAGCCTTTGGGACCAGGAGCCACCACCACCAAGCTGCCCTGCCAACTTGCAGAACAGCCTCCTCCACTGCCTGGTGGGACATGCCTGCTTCCGAGTGCCTCCGGCCCCTCAGCCCAGCTCAAACTGGGGGACAGCAGCATGGCAGCTGCTCCTTGGGGGTGGCAAGGATGTGCCCTGCCCCTTCTGCTGCCTGCCCGCATTGCTATGCTTCTGCATCACAGCCCAACGTTCTCGTGGCCCCAGGGCTGGAGCTATGGCTGGAGAAACCGCTTCCCACAGCACTGTGAGGATGGGTGGCTGCAGGAGCCAAGGCTCCTCAGGGATGGAGCCGGGTCCAGGCAGGACAGGCTGTCTGTGCCACAGCAGAGGCACACCTCCCCAGGAAACC